AGAACTTTGAGGTTTGCAAAGTACTTCCCACACAGTATCTTATTTGAATCTCACCAGTAACCCTCTGAGACAGGTATGCCAGGTACCTCTATCTCTACTTTATGGACCAGGAAATTGAGGCTCAGAGAAGTAATGAGACTTACCCAATTGATTTGAATGAAAAAAGAATCATGTTGAGGATGCCTATTGTAATTGTGTGGAGGGGGCCTGGAGGGAGCAGGGAGAAGGTAAACTATTCTAGCATGGTCAGAGTTCCTTAGACAGGGATTCTTTCCCCTGTAGCTGAGGGTGAAGGTTCAAAGGTTGGGTATCAGGAGACAGCTGGATGCCACTAAAATATTCATGCTTGGGTTGCTGGCCTCCTTTCCACATGCATGGCTTAAATCCAAACTCTCCTGTTAAGTGTTGGGTCTTTTTTTTTTCTTACTTCTTCTTCTTCTTCTTCTTTTATTTAAAGAAAATGTGATTCTTAAGCAGTGGAGAATGAGGCCAGAGCTCAGCACAGGGAGTTTTAATCCTTCTCATGTGAGGCTGGTGGCCAAAGGCAAACCTTAAGATTCTTGTTTCAAATGTTAAATTCAGTTCTAGGAAAGTGGCCCCATTGACTGAAACCCAGTGGGGCACAGAAGATGGGGAATAGCATAGGACAGATTAAATCCTGGCTTTCTGACCCTGGCATATGTGTATCTTCTATGATTGTTGTCCTTCATTCTCGAAGAGGACCAAAATGATGTCACTGTGTTACAGTCAAGTTACAGTACATCTGACTGTGGCTGATCAGACCAATACGAGTGCAGAATGTTCTACCACAGGTTGGCACGAATAGTCCATGGGAAAACAGGGGTGGATTCTCTAAATTTGGACATCTCCTGTTTCTTTTGAGCTGCTTCAATTCTGCTTTACTCATAGAGCACTGCACCTTCTCTGATGAGGGCACGCCATACTGGGTGGTCCTGTGCTAGTGTCTCCCTTGTCATACAATCAATTCCAAAGTTCTTAAAAGAGACCTTGAGAGTGATCTTGCATCGCTTCTTCTGACCACCATGTGAACGCTTGCCTTGTGTAAGTTTCCCATAAAATTTTAGGCAAGTGTACATTGGCCAGAACTAGCTCAGTGTTTGGGAGGTTCCAAAGAAAAGTGTGGGAGAAATGAGATATTAGACTGCCTAACAAACGGAAGGTCTACAGAGCTGTTGTGCTAACCTCATTGTTGTACGTCTGTAAACCTGGACAATATACCAGTGCCATGCCAGGAAAATGAATCGCTTCTGTTTGAATTATCTTCAGAAAATTCTGAAGATCACCTGGCAGGATAAGGTACCAGACATTAAGGTCCTTTCTTGAACTAAACTGCCAAGCATTCAGACTCTACTGTATTTCCCACATATGAGAACTGGCTACCTCTTCCCACCTCCCACCTGCGTTCATTTTTTTCTTTGGAAAGCACAGACCCCTTTACATTCTTTAAAATTTGCTGAAGACCCAAAGAGCTTTCATGTAAGTGGGTTATATCTAGGGATATGCTGGTAAATGTTTAACAATCAAATCCCCCCTCAGAATGTAAGTGACACACTTTTACATTTAATCTGCCTTATTAACATTTTCTTCATCACTTTCTTAAGTCTAGACAATCAGTATAACAATAAATCAAGCCCTGATTTGTAGCATTTGCCAATTTCCAGGATGTAAATACTCCCACTGAATATTTAACAATCAGCTCCCCAGCCAGTTTGAGCTGGACCTAGTAACACAGGGGTGTACGTGTGTTACAGGAGGTGTTGTGAGGATCAAATGAGACAGCATAAATGAAGATATTTTGAAAAATATAAAGCACGATGCAATTTTAAGGGGCTATTTTTAATTTATCCCCTCTTGTTACTTCTGTTATTTCTTATTATGGAACTTTTGTAGGGCTTTTGTAGCATTCAGAAGTTACTTTTTATATGTCTGCCTTATATCTTCCTTAAACCATGTACTTTTCAAGGGTAGGTACTATGTCATCTCAAATGAATTACAGGAATGTTTATTTAAGTGCCTTAGGCTTTATGAAAGGCATGGTGGTAAGCCCTGGGAATACAAAGGCAAAAATAAAGCTCCTTGTCTGTCCTTCAGGAATTTACATTTTCCTGAGGAGAGTATTGATATGCATAGACAAGTAAATAAACATTAATTTGAGGCAGGAGACTGGAGTGAGTCTAGGCAAGTTCTGTGGAAGAGATGAGATCTGAGCTGAGCCTTGAAGAAAGATAAGAATTTGAGGAGGTAAAGATAGAGAGAGAGTCCATTCCTGGTGTGGGGAACAGAAGTGGGGGATGAAATGATAAGTTCGGGGAATAGCTTATAGCTACTTCTGTTGAAGTGTAAAGAGAGTAATAGGAAGTAAATCTGGAAAGGTAGCTTGGAGCCAGGTTGTAGAGGGCCTTAAAAGCCAGGCAGCAGAACTTGCATTTTGACCTAGAAACAATATGGTGCCACCGAAGGTTTTTGAGGAGGGTAGTGATATGGTTGGACTAGTGCCTTAGGAAGATAATGTAGCTGGGCAGCTAAGTGGTGCAGTGGATAGAACACTGGAAGACCTGAGTTCAAATCCAGCCTCAGACGTTTACTAGCTGTCTGACCCAAGGCAAGTCCCTTAACTTCTGTTTGTCTCAGTTTCCGCATCTCTAAAATGGGGATAATAATAGCACCTAGCTCCCAGGGTTGTTGTGAGGATCAAATGAGACAATAATTGTAAAGTGCTTAGCACAGTGCCTGGCATGCTATAAATGTTAATTACTACTATTGTGTTGGCAGCCATGTGGAGGATGGGTTGGAGAAGGGAGAGGCTGGAAGCTAGGAGACTAATTAGGAGATTACTGAAATAGGCCAGGCAAAAAGTGCTGAGGACCTGGGCTAAGATGGAGTGAGTGGGGAGGAGGAAATAGATGCAGGAGATTGGAGCAGGAAGGAGAAAAATTGAAAATATTTATCAACTATTCTGATATGAGGCATGGGGGGAGGGAAGAGTCAAAACTGACTCTGAGGTTGTGAACCTTAGTGAGCAGGAGTGCCTGCAATAGAAATGGGGACGTCTGGAAGAGCATCAGGTTTAGAGGAGGGAAATTCCATTTTGGACATACTGAACTTGAAATGTCAATGGCACATCCAAGGGAATATGTCCAACAGACATTTGGTGATGCAAGACTAGGGTTTAATAGCGAGATAAGGACTGGATATATAGATTTAGGTGCCACCTGTAAGAAGATGATAATTGAGCCCATGGGAATAGATGAGATCATCAAGAAAGAAAGTATAGGGAGAGAAGAGGCCTCAGAACTGAGCCTTAGAAAATTTCCATGATGACAGGCCAGAATGGTAGGAGGAAAACATAAAGACAACAAACAAAAATCGGGGAGGAGAAAGTTTCAAGGAAAAGAGGTAGACAGTGGCAAAAATTAAAGAGAAGTCAAAATGATTAAGAAAAAAAAAGACCACTGGATTTAGCATTGAAGAGTTAGTTGATTCCTCACACGTATATCATAATACATCACCTAATATATCACAGTAAACTCCAAGTGGATACCTAACCTAAACATAAAAGATCAAATCACAAACAAATTAGAGGAGAAGGAAAGGAAACAACTCACAACTACGGATGAGTGAGAATTCTTAACAAAATGAGGGATAGAGATGATTATAAAAGATAAAATGGATGATTTTGATTACGCGAAATCAAAAAGCATTGGCACGAGTAATGTGGTCAGAATTAGAAAGGAAACAGATAATTGGAGAAAAAAATCTTTGTAGGAATTGGCCTTGGCACAGAGAGACGGACCATATCTTGCTTGGAAATTAGAACAAAAGTATACAGAATGGGGAATGATGAGAGGGATGTAGAGGTGTGAAATAATGGAGAAGGGCCTCACAATCAAGCCTTGATTTTCCAATAGGAGGCAAAGTCTCTGCTGAGAAGGATGGGAGTGGAAGTGGTATAGGGGATCTGAGGGGAGAAGAGCAGGTTTGGGACATGGGAGAGGGTCAATAAAAGAAGAATAAAAGGACTGTCATGCAGCAGGAGGGCCAAGTTGTGATTGGATAGCATAAACTTGTCATTTGTCATGCTAGCATGAGTTCCTCCAGAAATGTTCCTTTTTTTTTTTTAACCTCCCAGCCCAATGCTATGCACATGAGAAGTGCTTAATAAATAATAATTGAATAAATGGACAGCTGCATTAAGTGCTGATGGGTGTGCTGGAACTGGCTGGAACTGACAGCTAAAGTTTTAGTCAGAGTGTTCACAGCTTGGAAATGAGCAGATACTATAAACTGGAGCTTGGCATCTTGTTTTGTTGGCTGTTGACTCTAGACTTAAGAAAGAGGTGGAAAAAATGTGAATAACCCAGAATATAATTTAGAGTCATTTTGATTATGACAAATATCCAAACCAATGACAAAGAACATGTGAAGGAAGGTGCTGTCTGCATCTAGAGAAAGAGGCGACAAATACAAGTATGTCTAGGATGATTTTACATATGTATATGTACACTTGTGTCTGATGGTAGCCATCTCTAGGGAGGAGGGCAGGTAAGGGGAAAAAAGGGAAAAAAATTAATTTACATGATAATACATATTTAAAAGGAATAGCAAGTTATATATAATAGATTTGCAGTTTCAGGGGCAATTATCTCTTTGTTTTTTAATTATACTATGTTATGGAAAGGCTTGTTTTATTCCATAAATTAAAAATTAATATATTTTTTTAAAAAGTATGAGTACATTTTTTTTCCTGGAGAGCCAGGTGTTAAGTATTTGCCAGTACATCTTTGGGTGTGGGCTATCCCAACTTCATTCTTAACAAACTTATTGAAATAAAAGATTCACAGCACAAACCATTCCCCTACACAGACGTGGTACTGAACTGAAGAGCACCCCAGCAACTCTACACACCCGTCTAGGGCATCATGATTTTCCCGTGTGCCCCGGGCAGCAGCAGCTGCGGACACGTATATTCAGTTGCTCACCTGGGAAGAGTCACATTTTCTGGCGTCCTTCTCTTTCTTTGCCAGTCGTTTCTTTTTCTTGTGAAGGGGATTGGACTCTAGGATCATTTCTTCAAGTTCAAAGGTGGGATCACAGTTCAGCCTGCCTTTCTGGAGGGAACAAAAGGAAAGGTCACTTAGTCCCTAGCGGGACTCAACCTTTTCTATCACTTTACACATGGGCCAGATCTAGGGAAGGGACTGAAGTAAGCCTCAACTGAAGTCGGCCCGAGATAATAGAGAGAATGGAGCCCCCCGCGTGCTCTACGTAATTCATTGTCTGCTTCCATGGCATAGCGCCTTCATCGTTCTTTACGCTTACCTTTTATTCTCTCTGTCTTCCAATTAGTCCGCCGTGGGTAGAAAGGGAAACAAACACCTTTTTAAAATTACATTTTACCTTTCTTGTTTGTGCACTTTTTGAGTCGCTGTGGGGTTTCATTGCTGGAAAAGTGCTATGGCACTAATGAGACCATTCTCTAGTTTGGGGTTTAATGGGAAGAGCAATGGATTTGTAAGCAGAAGACTTGGAATCAGATTCTGACTTTTCTACCGACTTTGTGTGAACAGAGACAAATCATCTTAGCTTAGCCTCAGTATTCTCCATTGTAAAATGAGAGGATTGAATTAGATGATCTCTAAGGATGGGGCCTGGAGTCAGGAGGACCTGAGTTCAAATCTGGCTTCAGATACTTACTAGCTGTGTACCCTGGGCAAGTCATTTAACCCTGTTTGCCTCAGTTTCCTCATCTGTAAAATGAGCTGGAGAGGGAAATGGCAAACCACTCTAGTATCTCTGCCAAGAAAACCCAAATGGGGGTCACAAAGAGTTAGAGACGACTGAAATGACTGAATGACAACAACAAAATTAACTGACTAGGGAGGGGAGCCTGCTTCTCGTCTCTACCACATTAAGGGAAATTTACTCCCTACAAAGGATTCCTACAGCCCAGACCATGGGACACCCCCCAGCTCTGTGATGCTTTATGGAAACAGTGCAAAGTCACACTAATGTCTCCATCTTTTTTTAAACTTCTGGAGTGATTCTCGCCTTTACCACTTATATCATGACATGTGATCACAGCCCTATACTGCTATGCAATTATGTGAAATGTCTGTCCCTCCAAGTAAGCTGCGAGTTCCTTTAAGAACAACAGGGTCCCTCGGTCTCCCTATTTTTTAATCCCTAAAAGTTCTTGGCATAGAACTGAGCTCAAAGTTGGTACTCAATGAATACTAGCAGAACAATAACTGTGTGAATTTTTGCAGCCCTGAAACAAGAGCTCTATGTGGAGTTAAAGACCCCAAACTCTGAACTTTCACCAGATTAAGAGCCTGAAATTCTGGCATAAAATGTATTGCCAATATGCCTCTAAACACAGCAATGCCATTGACAGATTAGCATCCTGTGTGCATTTAATCCACACAGATGAATACATAGAAGCAACATTAGTCTGGTGGATAGGGTACTAAGCTTGGATGTAGGAAGAGAAAGGTTCAAGTTCTGCCTCTGAGATATATTAACCATGTGACGCCAAGCCTCTTCCTCAATCGTATAACCTATCTGTCCCTCACATGTCTCGCTTTTGTCCCTAGGACTTAGTGAAGTATAAATGTGGAGCTCCCTATATTAAGATCCTTCCTGTATTGAATCATACCAAATTCCCTCCTACTTTTCAGGATATACAATTTCAGTGGTGTGGGATGGCCTGAGGCAAAGGCTATAAACACCAACATAGTAACAGAACATTTGAGTTTTGCCCTATAGGGCCCCAGTGGGCTGGAATTTATAGACCCTTCAAAAGCAGGAAGAAACATACTCTAAACTTGGAACAGGTGTTGAAATGAACAGTGGGGGTGGTGAGGAAGTGGGAGGTTGGACTTCTTTCAGTTGACTTACATTAGGAATGAAAGTTGGAATCAGCCTCTTCTGCAGAACTGCATCCCAATTCACATCAGCCATGTAGGAGCAGTCCTGGACATCTGATAGCTGAGAAAATCTGTGGTCAGGATTTTGTTCGAGCAACTGCCAAGAAAACACCAGAGTTTGGAGGATGAAGTATGGAAAGGCTCAGGGAGGCCAATTTTTAGGGGCAGCTCCATTTCTAATGTCTTCAGAGATCTCTCCCCAGTTCCCCCTTCCATCTATAGCCAAGCAGCTGCCACGTCATAGAATCAAAGGTTTAGAATTGAAAGGAATACGAGAAATCACCCAGACCGGAGGTTTCAAACATGCCACTGAACCCACAACACTCCAGGTGCAACCTGAAGCAGATTAAAATGTAATTGGGAAATACTGAACAAAATAAATAAAAATACAACGGAACATAGATAGTATTAATACATGGTTTTCTAAGTCAACATACTACCTGCAGGGATCCTTATATATGGTTTAGTGGCTCCTGTGTCTATTGGATTTTGACACCACTGATCTAGACCCTCATTTTATAGACATGACTCTCGACTAGTAAGCAGTCTGCTCAGTTCTCCTTCTACACCATCTCTTGTATCAAGCCTCTTCCCTCCAGTGAATCAGACACCAGCCTCAGGAACTCATCCCCTCTCCCAGGTCCCCCATGCCTCACAAAGCCTCCTCTTCCCCTCATTTCTCCTTAGAATCCTTGTCTCCCTTGTAGGATCAGCTCAGGGGCTGCCTTCTGTGAATGGGAAGCTTTCATTGAGCCTCCTAGCTTCACTTCTCTTTCCTGCCTCAAATTGCTATGGATCTATTTAACTGTTTACATATTGTAAACTCCGTAGGATATAGGCTTCTTGAAAGCACAAACAACTTTAATTTGTTTAAGGTTTTTAATTTCCATCTCTCTGTTCCCAATGCCTATAACAGTGCTTTGCACAGAGTTTTGTTTTGTCCAGTCATTTTAGCCATGTCTGACTCTTCATGACCCCATTTGGGGTTTTCTTGGCAAAGATACTGCAGTGGTTTGCCATTTGTTTCTCCAACTCATTTTATAGATGGGGAAACTGAGGCAAACAGGGTTAAGTGACTTACGCAGGATCACACAGCTAGTAAGTGCCTGAGGCTGGATTTGAACTCAAGAAAACAAGTCTTCCTGATTTCAGGCCTCACTTTCTCCACTGAACTAGCCAACTGCTCCTTTTCACAGAGTAGGCACTTAAATAATGCTTGGTGCATTAAATAAACTGTCAAAACAAAGTAAAAGATTGCTCTCTTAGAATTCAAAAGAGATAGCATAGAAATTGCTAGGATATGGATATATGAGAATAAATGACCTTGTGTACACAATTGGCTTTTGCCTATACTAAAGTCTCTAGAAAACCCTTCACTGACGTGTGGAGGAGACAACGGCTTCTCAAAGGTGATGTCAATTATGGTAGGTCCTGCAAACTTGAGATGGCTTTGAGTACAGGCCAAAGAACAGACTGTGTCTGTCATCTGATAACCAGCCTACTTCAGGCTGATGGGCCCTATCACTAAAATAGTGAACACGAGGTGGTGATGTATTATTCTGACCATAGCAATTCATTCAACCATCAACACAGGCTGAGGGACTTGCCAGCAGGAATGCCCAAACAGAAGAAACTGTGGGCTCTCAAAGTACTGAAAATAAGTTGGACTGTTGAGGTTTTTCTCATGTTCTTGATGGTGTAAGTTATGGTGCTTAATACATGTTTATTAATTGATTGCTTGATTCCACTCAATGTCTGACTTTCTTCAAGAAAGGTCACTTGATATGTTAGTTGTATAGAGATAATGCTTACTTTGACTTGGGGCTTAGACTTGAGGCTTAGCTGGTGTATGATAAACAGATTTCTCACTATGCTGGAAATGATCTAATGGGGGAAAGTGAGGCTCTAACTAGAAACATGTCAGCCCTACTGAGAACCAAATGGAGAAGACTGCCACTTAGCATCCATGTCTTTGTCTGGGACTGGGAAGTAAATAGCATGATTTTACACATAGATGAATGACACATGGTGAGTAAGACAAAGATGAGTAGAAAGTGTATAGGATTTGGAGTAGGAAGATCTGGGTTTGAATCCCAGTTCTGCCACTTACAACCTGTGTGACCTTGGGAAACTCACTTAAGCCACCCTGGACCTCAGTTTCCTTATCTGTAAAATGAGATGATTGCACTAGATAGCCTCTGAGGTCCCTAGAACTCTAGAGCTATGATCTTATGAGTCCTAACATTTAACTTGGTCCCAACTTGACCCTGTTGTAAACTATATATTACCTCACTTCAAAAACAACAGAGGTGGCTTTTCCCACATGGAAGGGCAATCTTTGAAAAACTGTACAAATTGTCGAGAAAGGATACTTAGTGAGAAGCTCTTTCTTTTGCTGGAGATTACCTTGTTGCAACTTTTCTTCCTCCCTAAGCTGTGCCCATCTTCTTCTGCCCACACCAGAGCTCTAACTAGAAATGTTCGTACCCAGGACAAGTGACATAAAATATTCCTGAGGAAAGCAACAGAAACATTAATGATAGGCCACTGCCATATGAGATGGTGGAACAGGAATAGGCCAGAGATGGAATGTCACCACTGGCCTACCATCTAATAGTTTCCTATTTTAACTAGTTATTTTTACCCACTGGGTGCTAAGATCAGTTTTTCTATTCCGCTAAAGGGTTGCAAGTACTATCAGTATTTTCTAAATTTGGGCCCCTGGTTGCTCATTTTAATTGCTTCTCTACTGTTCCCTTTGCTCAAGGGATTGCCTTAAAAACAACAACCACCACAAAACAAAAACAAATCCCCATTTCAACAGGAATTAAGTTCCACTGGTCAACTCCTGTTTATCTCTTTTATAGCAAGGTATTAAAAATTCACCTCCACCTCCTCTCCAGAAAAGGGTTCAGTGAACACTTCAAAGCACCACTCCCCATAGCAGTGAGTTCAGGGGGAGAAATGAGTAGGATGCAGTTGAAGTGACAACAGTTTCATAAAGTGAAGACATTAACTGAGGGTGATCACTCTCATGTGGGAAAAATTACACTAATATGAGTGTTATCTGGAGACTTGTGATTACAGTTTTATCCTGAACTATCTGGAGCTGGCTTGTGCCTCAAACTATCCCTGCAGACCCCATATTGACTTAGAAATACACAAACTAATATTATCTATGTTGTATTGTACTCTCACTGATTTTTTTTGTTAAACATTTCCCAGTTACACTTTGATCTGGTTCCAGCAGCACTAGGAAACATTGTCAGCCTTTTAAGGCCCCAGACAGGGAGTTTGGACATGTCTGATGTAGTGGATAGACTGTTGGGCTAAGAGTCATAAAGACCTGAGTTTGAAGCCTTTCTTAGACTACTACTAGTTATGTGACCCTATGCAAGTCACTTAATTTTTCTCAGCCTCATTTTCCTTATCTATAAAATGGGGATAACAATGATACCTACCTCACAGGGTTGATGTGAGGCTCTAATGAGGTAACAATAAAGAAATTTGCAAATCTTAAATCACTATATAAACTATTATTCTTCAAAAAAATTTTTTCATCTGGGAACATAGAGTCTCATGATGTACATAACTTTAAAGAAATAAAAAAATCAAGGGAACAACCAGTGGCAACTTTGGGAAGTTATCTCAATGCTCCAGTGGTCACCTCGCTCTGGAGCAGTCCAGTGATGACCACAACTGGCCATCAGCCTTGAGAACTGGACCTGCCCCATCTGCCTGCTTGGGCACTTCTGCCAGCATTACCTAAAAGTTGTCATTTCATCACCTCAAAAATGTGTGATTTCATCCATGTAGGTACTCTCTTGGTAATGTAGATCACAACTTCCCCACACCTTAGTAGATGGTTTCATGAGCTGCTGTTGCCAAAAATGTGACTCACTTTGGTGGCCAACCTTTGAGTGATAAGCTTCTCCACAGCTGGTCCGTAATTAACATATGATAATTAGACACACATCATGCACCAGGTACTCATAAGGGGCTTGGGATAGAACAAACAAAATGGTCCCTGTCCTCAAAGTGCTTATAGTCTGCTGGGGGATCACACCAGAGTGTTGTCGTTGCTCAGTCCCAACCACCTTACACTTGGATGGATTGCAAAAGAGAGAAACTGTAGTCCAGGTTTTGTTTTTCTTACTGACTCGTTTCAGCGGTGTCCATCCCTTTGTGACCCTATTTGGGGTTTTTCTTTGGTAAAAATACTGGAGTGGGTTGCCATTTCCTTCTCCAGCTCATTTTACAGATGAGGAAACTGAGGCAAACAGGGTTAAGTGACTTGCCAAGGGTCATGCAGCTAGTAAGTGTCTGAGGTCACATTTGAACTCAGGAAGATGAGTTCTCGATTTCAGGTCTAGCACTCTGTCCACTGTGCCATCCAGCTGCCCCAATTACAGCACGTATACCAAGTAAATAAGTACAAAATACATTTCAAGAGAAAGAGATGCTTATAACTGGGGGAGAGAGAAAGTGTCACAGAAAAGCCTCTCGTAGTAGATAGCATTTTTTTTTGTTTTTTATTTTTGTTTTGGATAGGCAGTGGGGTTAAGTGACTTGCCTAGGGCCACACAGATAGTAAGCATTATATGTTTGAAGCCAGATTTGAACTCAGGTCCTCCTGAATCCCGGGCCAGTGCTCTATCTACTGCACCACCTTCCTGCCCCTAGTAGATAGCATTTTTGAAGGAGACTAGGAATTCTATATGATGGAGGTAAAAAAGAAATACATTCTAGAAATGGGAGAGAGGCACTTGTGAAAAAGCTTAATAATAACAATAATAGCTAGCATTTATGTAGTACTCTAAGGTTTGCAGATCATTTTGCATATGTTCATTCATTTCATCCTAGCAAACAACCCTGGGAGGGAGGTACTATTATTAACCCCATTTTACAAATGAGGAAACTGAGGCAGAGGGAGGTTGTGACTTGTTCCCGGTCACATAGCCAGAAATTTTCTGAGGCAGGACTAGAACTCAGGCCTTCCTGGTTCTAAGTCCTGTTCTCTAGACAATGAGTCACTTAGGTGAATGGAAATGCGAGATGGAATATTGTATGTGGCAAGTCTAACTGGGATGGAGAATATGTGAAAAAGAGAATGTGGAATATGAATGGAAGCTGAGGATTTTACAGTTAATCTGAGTGGCAATTGACAGCCATTGAAAGTCTTAGAGTCATTTTCAGGGAAGTCCAAATCTGGTCCATCGCCCATTTTTTTTTATAGCCCCACAAGCCAAGAGTAGTTTTTTTTATAAGATTATATTTTAATATAATATAATATAACTATATTTTCCATATAATAAAATAATACAATAATATTATATTTTTAAATATAATAAGACTTTAGGTAAAAATATAAAAACATTCTTGGCTTGTGGGGCTGTACAAAAACAAAGCGGTCAGATTTGGCCATGATCCTGTATTTTGCCTACCCTTGGCACTTGAATGGTTACAAAATGCTTTCCTCACAATCCTAGAAGGTAAGTGTGTAAACATTATGACGACCATTTTATGGATGAGGAAAAGTGAGACTCAGTGACCCTATACTAAGTTAGGATTTGAACCCAGGACCCCTGCCTTTGGGCCATAGCTCCTTCCACTACACTACATTTTACTAACAAAGGTACCTCACCTAGCTGACCCGCTACCAAATATCCTTGGTAGGAATGGTTGTAAATGTAAATTTGTTTATAACACATTATCCATTCAAGACGGGAAGAAAGAAATTTGGAGAAGCTGTTAAAAGAGATGCGGACAGTCACAGCTGCCTAACATCTATAAGGTTCCTGCAGACTAATTTCTGTCACTTGGGAATCTGTTCAGAAAATATGCTTTCACCCACAGATTCAGGCTGAAAAAATAAATACCTTGGCTGCAATAGCACTGAGGGAAGATTTACACCCTTCCCTCCCCTCCTCCATACCTCCATCAGGGCCAGATAACTGTCACAGATAAGGTTAGAGAATGGTCTGTAGTCCAGATAATAGAGAGCTTGAGTCTTGCTATTTACTTCCCACTATGAAATTGAAATATTATTCTTTCTGAATAATTATAAAAAAAGAAAATTGATGTCCTTTTTGGGGGTAGCCTGATTCTACCGATTTCTTTTTAAAGTTCTTATGGTTTCAATCATATAAATTATCTCCTATTTTCCATAGCTTACATCCAGATGCTGGTAAATTGCTGTTATGTTTACCCCACCCCACCCTTCTCATTTCGAGGTTTGGAAGGTTTGCTTGGAAATACATCTCTAGATAACAAGTCTTTCTACGCTTTCAGACGGTAGCTGTACTTAAATTCAGTTGGAGGAGGGGGATTGAGAACAATCTCTTCCATTGGGCTTCCATACTGTGAGAGAGAAGGGGCTATCCCCCAAAGAGTCTAGGCTGAACCTCCATAACACTGCAGATGGTCTCTGATGGTCCCACATATCATGGGAAGATAGCAGGTAGGGGTGGAGTGATGGGAAAAGATGGGCCCTGGGAAAAGGGTTCCGGCAATGGGGGATCCGGGGTCAGAGCACAAAGACAAAGAGAAAAGGCACCAAGCCAGAGGACCGCTGGGAGTCTGAGGAGCTACTAGCCCCGTACGTCGGTTCCCTGGTGACAAAGTCCAGAGAGCCCAATACTGGCCACAGGGCTGGTCGTGCAGGTGTTTGCAGATGTGATTTGCTCCCTCACCAAAATGGAATGATTTCAGAAACCAAAGAGAAAGTTAAGTGTTGTGACCTTTGAGCAAAAAGAATCAGCCATGCTGGCTGAAGTGGAGGCATGTTCACCATGTGCTGTCAAAGGAAGGGATAAATAGAGACTGGAGAATGTACTGCTTCTGGATTCACGGACTTGGGTTGAAAAACTCCTCTGACACGGTGTATATGACCTTTAACTTCCTTGGGCCTCAATTTCCTTAGTTTTAGGAGCAGCTAGGTGGTACAGTCAATAAAGCAGGAAGTTAAAAAAAAAGACCTGAGTTCAAATCCTACCTCTGGACATGTCTCCATGTCCCTAGACAAATCATTTAATCTCCCTTTGCCTCAGTTTCCTCATCCACAAAACAGGGATGATAATATCATCTACCTCTCAGGTCAAATGACATAATATTTGTCAAGTATTTTACAAAACTTAAAGAACTATACAAATGCTAGCTATTATTATTATTATTATTATTATTAATTCTTCTTCTTCTTTCCTCATCATTAAAATAAAAGAGCTTCATTAGCTGGTCTCAGAAGTCCCTCTAGCTCCAGAGCCATGATTTTAAGATCATTATCAGGATTACATCAGTAGAAATTAGACGGAAGCAAGAGATTGATTTCAGCAGAACCACCAGAGGGTAGTATCCCACCTCGTCAGAAGAAAATGTTATTGTGAGCAATTGTCCCACATGTCTCAGTTATCTTTTCTTCCAGATTCATTCCTGTGACATCTATTCTCTCTGCTCCACATTTGGCATCTTTCCTATACTACACCATTTCGTATCGCTAATAATCTTTCTGTGTGTTCATCTCTTGGAGTTGCTACCAGCTGATAAACTCCTATAAAGGAATGTAGTTCTTGGTGTCATTACAGTGCTTAGCCCAGTTCTGTGAATACAGTAGGGGCTCAAGAAATATTTCTCCATTAACTCATTCTCTCCTTAATAAGACTCTAAGCATCTTTAAGGTAAGGATCATATTTTGTTTCTTTTATTTATCTCCCACAGTGCACAGTAGGTGCTCAGTAGTAAATACCTGTTGAATTCAATTGAAGAAATGTTCAATTCAACGAATACTTATTACATGCCTACCATGTTAAGACACTACGGTGAGAATGATACAAAATGGCATAGCCTCTGCCCTCAAGGAGCTTACAGCCTGCAAGGTGCACTGGTGCACATGCTGTCTTAGAATCAGGGCATCTGGGGGCAGGTAGGTGGCACAGTAGATAGAGCTCCAACCTTGGAGTCAGGAGGACCTGAGTTCAAATCTGGCCTCAGACACTTGACACTTACTACCTATGTGACCCTAGGCAAATCACTTAACCCCAATTGCCTCAGGGGAAAAAAAAAAGAATCAGGGTATTTATGTGGTTTTGAATCTCAAATTTGCCAATTATTACACATGTGACCTTAGGCAAAACACCTTTCCTCTCTAGACCTCAGTTTCCTCATTTGTATATAATGGAGAACCAGCCACTGAGAAATTCATCAGTGCATTCTCATGAGGACGGGGCTCAATGACCTAGTTACATAAAAATGATGAAGCTGAACTACATAGCCTCTCTTCCAGCCTAGGATCTTTGATCCTTTGTATGACAAGTTCTCCTAGCTGGCACAGTGAATAGAGTGCCAGGCCTTGAGTCAGGAGAACCTGAGTTCAAATCTGGCTTCAGATACTTATTAGCTGTGTGATCAGTTTCCTCATCTGTAAAATGAGCTGGAGAAAGAAATGGCAAATCACTCCAGTATATTCGCGAAGAAAACCCCAAACGGGGTCACCGAGAGTCAGACATGACTGAAACACCCGAACAGCAACAAATGACAGGTTCGCCGATCAGCACGATATAGAATATGGTATATACAGACAAAGTACTCTGTGGAAAGAGAGAGCATTTTAATCTAGCAAATTAAATGAGATAGCATATGGGGAAGCACTTTAAACATATGAAAGAACTACGCAAATATAAGGGCTTATTGTTTTTTGAATAACAGAAATGGTTCTGATGATGGAGACCGAGGATCCAAGTTTGAGTCCTGGCTCTGACACCAAGTATGGAACATCTGGCAAGTTGTTTCCCTCTCCTGGACTCCAGTTTCCTTTCTATAAAACGGGGAGCATGATACTTGTACTAGCAACCAGAGCTATCGTTAGGAGGAAATGGGGTGAAGCTTGTAAGTTTAAGATCCCGAGATCGTAAAAGTAGAGCTGGAAAGGACCTTAGAGGCTAAAGAGCCCAAACCCTTTATTTATTTCTCCAGCTAGGAGAGCTTGTCATACAGAGGATCAAAGATCCTATGCTGGAAGAGAGGCCATGTAGTTCAGCCTCATCATTTCTGTGTAACTAGATCACTGAGCCCAGTCCTTACGAGCATGCATGGAAGGCCACTGATGAATTTCTCAGTGGCTAGTAGTATTTATTTTTAACATTCATTTTTAATAGCATTTGTGAGTGCTGAATTCTCTCCCTCCAGTCTCTCCCTCACCCATTGAGAAGGCAAGCAAAATGATAGCAATTATACGTGTGAAATCATGTAGACTCTATTTTCATATTAGCCATCCAACCCCCTTATTTTGCAGTTGAGGAAACTGAGGCAGACAGGTTAAGTGATTTACTCAGGGACACCTAGCTAGTAAGTATCTAGGGCAGGATTTGAACCCAGAATTTCCTGACTCTACGTCCAGTGTCCTGAAAGTATATACTACTACATTATCATAGGCAATTATTCATAATACCATCCAGTCATGGGGACCATGTCGCCCCTCCTCTTACCTTTTTCAGCAGTGTCACCATTCCTATTGACCACGAAGCTGGGTAGGTCACAATTGCTGTCTTAAACATGTGAGCTATGTCATGAGTGGATGTGCCAGAGCGAATCTGATATGGCCTCTGTAAAAACATAAGAAGGAAATTATTTCTTTCTGGCTAGGGGAGTGAGAGGAGAGAGGAAGGCTGAAAAACACTTTCTTTGGACATTTTCCCAGGTCAGGCATGCAATAACTAAGATGTCATTGTGTAGTTTCCAAATACCCTACCTCTCCCCACGCTGCTATCCTCAATAGAGCCACTGAAAATCAACACAGGGCCAGGCCTCGCCCGGCTGAAGTAAACAGATTAACACTGGGCTGTAAACACAACAACAATAAACCCAAGGAAATGAGGTTGCTCACAAAGCAAAGGGGCCTGGAAGAAAAGAGGAAAAAAAACACAACAAAATAACCCACTACCAACAAAGCCATCACCGAGTTAGGTTGTGACCAGCATAGCTAGTGCTTTCAAAGTAGAGGTAGCAAATCCAGGCAAGAATTCACTGCTCTGCCATCTAAAGCCTAGTGGCCCAGTCATCTTTCCAACGAAGCTACAATACTGCTGGATCGTGGCTGGAGGCCAAGGTAAAGCAGGTCAGGCAGGTATGGGAGGTCTCAGGTGGGGTCCCCTTTTCCATTCTGTTTGGGCAAAGTGAAAAGAGAATTTGGAAGCAGAAAAACTTGGCTTTGCTCCCATTGTGATGTTGGGTCAGTCAGCTCCCTTTCCGTGCCTCAGTTTCCTCTTGTATGAAATGAGGAGTTTGGTCAAGATATCTGTAGTCTAAAATCCCTTTCCAGTTCAAATCCCATAATGCTATAAATGGCAATAAAACTATAAATCTAGCATAAGAAATAAAAATTTTTGCTACTGTCCTGGGATCCCTGACTGGATTAGATGTCCTAGGGAAGAATATTTCTTTGGGTGAGACCACTATCTGGGTAAAAATTTACAGTTAAAGGGTTTTCCAGTCTCCAATTGTAGTCTTTTTTTTTTGAGGGGTTGAGGGAGGAGAGGACTCATATTATTTTGCTTTGAAAAAATAAATGAATTTTCACAAGGTTCACAAGTGACCATTTGAAGATGACTTCAATGGATACCACTCACTTAAAAGGTGGCATGGTGCGAGAATAAGATTGCTACAGCCACAGAAGACTTGGGTTTGAATTCCAGTTCAAGCTCTCACTGCCTCTGCAAACTTGGGCAAATCCTTTCAACCACCTGGCCCTCCGTTTTCTCCTGGGTAAGATGAGCCTGGACCAAATGATGCCTTCTAGCTCTGTGATCCTCTGAAAGTGCTGCTGGGGCTTAGGTTTTATTCCTGTCTTTGGAAGATTTTCATTTAATATTTACTAACTAAATATATTTCACAAGCAACTTGTAAATGAATAATAATAGCTAACATTTATATAGTGCTTGTGTCCAGAGCAGCTGTGGCACAGTGGATAGAGTGCTAGAACTGAAATCAAGAACTCATCTTCCTGAGTTCAAATCCAGCTTCAGACACTTACTAGATGCATGACCCTGGGCAAGTCACTTACCCCTGTTTGCCTCAGTTTCCTCATCTGTAAAATGAGTTGCAGAAGGAAATGGCAAACCACTCCAGTATTTTTGCCAAGAGAACCTCAAATGAGGTCATGAAGAGTTGGACATGACTGAAATGACTGAACAATAAATACTAGGTACCAGATCTTCCTTCCTTCCTTCCTTCCTTCCTTCCTTCCTTCCTTCCTTCCTTCCTTCCTTCCTTCCTTCCTTCCTTCCTTCCTTCCTGCCTTCGTTCCTTCCTTCCTTCCTTCCTTCCTTCCTCCCTTCCTTCCTTCCTTCCTCCCTTCCTTCCTTCCTTCCTTCCTTCCTTCTCCCTTCCTTCCTTCCTCCCTCCCTCCTCCCTCCCTTCCTTCCTTCCTTCCTTCCTTCCTTCCTTCCTTCCTTCCTTCCTTCCTTCCTTCCTTCCTTCCTTCCTTCCTTCCTTCCTTCCTTCCTTCCTTCCTTCCTTCCTCCCTTCCTTCCTTCCTCCCTTCCCTCCTTCCTTCCCTCCTCTCCTTCGGTCCATATAGGGAATCATACCCCTTCCCTGCTGGTGCTCTGCCTCAAGGGATATAAATTTTGATTGCTGAAACCTCACAAGATATCTGGAGGTTTATGAGCTAGACTTCTTTTTTCAAGGCCCATGCCTTAAGCCCAAATCACTCTGGCTCTCCCAACAACAGGCCAACAATAAGTCCCAACCGAAGCTCATTTGGTTATTGTTTGGGTTTTGATGGCTCAGAGTGAGTGTAAACAGCAATTGTTTCTGTTCTGGTGAGAAACCCTGAGGGTCTTCCCCTCCCAGATTGATTTTTTTTATGACTAGGTAAAAGAGAACATTCTTGCCTCATTTCTTACCTAGCCTTAATCACTGAATGGGTGTTGCCTCAGTCAAGCTGAGACCTGGGAAAGACTTTAGCTTAAAAAGGCCAAGGTCCCTTATAGAGCTAGAAAAAAAATAATAACAAAATTAATCTAGAAGAACGAAAGGTCCAGAGCATCAATGAAATTAATGAAAAGAAATGCAAGGGAAGGTGGCCTAGCCATACCAGATCTTAAATTGTATTATAAAGAAGCAATCATCAAAACTACTTGGTGCTGACTAAGAAATGGAGTGGTGGATCAGTGGAATAGGTCAGGTATACAAGACCCAGTAGTCAATGACTACAGTAATCTACTGTACGATAAACCCAACGATTCCAGCTTCTGGGATAAGAATTCATTATTTTGCAAAAACTGCTGGAGAAACTGAAAATAGAATGGCAGAAACTAGGCATAGAGCAATATCTTACACTGTATACTAAAATAAAGTCAAAATGGGTACGTGATTTAGATACAAAGGCTGATACTATAAGCAAATTAGGAGAGCAAGAAATATTTACCTGTCAGATTTATGGAGAACAGAAGAATTTATAACCAAACAAGAGATAGAGAACATTGTGAAATACAAAATGGGTATTTTGATTACATTAAATTGAAAAGTTTTTGCACAAACAAAGCCAATGCAACCAAGATTAGGAAGGAAGCAGATAACTGTTTTTTACAACCAGTGTCTCTGATAAAGGCCTCATTTCTAAAATATATAGAGAACTGAGTCAAATTTATAAGAATACAAGTTATTCCCCAATTGATAAATGGTCAAAGGATTTGAACAGTTTTCAGATGAAGAAATTAAAGCTATAGTCATATGAAAAAAATGCTCTAAATCACTATTGGTAAGAGAAATGCAAACTCTGAGGTACCACATCATACATATCAGATTGGTTAACATGATAAAACAGTAAAATGATAAATGCTGGAGAAGATGTGGGAAAATTGGAGCACTAATGCATTGTTGGTGGAGTTGTGAACTGATCCAACCATTCTGGTGAGCAATTTGAACTATGCCTAAAGGGCTACAAAACTGTGCATACCCTTTGACGCAGCAATACTACTTCTAGGTCTGTATCCCAAAGAGATCATAAAAATGGGAAAAGGACCCACATATACAAAAATGTATACAGCAGCTCTTTTTGTGGTGGCAAGGAACTGAAAATTGAGGGGATGCCCGTCAGTTGGGGAATAGCTGAACAAGTTGGGGTATTTGAATGTAATGGAATGCTACCATGCTATAGGAAATGATGAGTAGGCAGACTTCAGAAAAACCTGGAAAGACTTATATGAACTGATGTAGAGTGAAGTGAGCAGGATCTAAGATAGCTCCAAAAGACTCATGATGGAAGATGCTGTCCACATCCAGAGAAAGAGCTATGAGTCTGAATGCAGATGGAAGCACATTATTTGCTCTCTTTCTCTCTCTCTTTTTGTTTTGTTTTGTTTCTTCCTTCTGATGGTTTCTCATTGGTTCTAATTCTTCTTTACAACATGACTAATGTGAAAATAGGTTTAAGATGATCATATATGTTGAGCCTATATCAATTTACATGCTGCCTTGGGGTGGAGGGAGGGGAGAGATGGGGTGAAAATTGGAACTCATAATCTTATGGAAGTAAATGTTGAAAACTAAAAATGAATAAATAAATTTATTTTATATATATATATATATATATATATGCATATACACACACAGATATAAAAGGCCAAGCTTCCCCACTGCATCTGGGGCCATCTCTACTAGTTCTGATCTAGATCAGCCACCAGATGTGAGGCTGGTGACTTTGCACAGCTCTGCCTCACTGAAATCCAATTCACTTGCAAGTCATGACACATTGGTCCTCTTTGAGAATGAAGGACATACAACAACAACAATGGGTCAGATATTGTGTTAAGCGTTTTACCGTTATTATCTCCTCTGATCTTTGTGACAACCCTGGGAGGTAGGTGCCGTCATTATCCCCCTTTTACAGATGAGGAAACAGAGGCAAATAAAGGGTAAGTGACTTTCACAGGGACATAGAGACAGTAAGTGGCTGAAGCAAGGATTTGAACACAGGTCTCCCTGACTCTGGGCAGGTAGGTGGCACAGCAGATAGAGTTCTGGGCCTGGAGTCAGGTAGACTTGTCTTCCTGAATTCAAATCTAGCCTCAGACATTCGTGTGATTCTCGGCAAGTCACTTAACCCTGTTTGCTTCAGTTTCTTCATCTGTAAAAAACCTGTAGAAAGCCCCAAACGGGGTCATGAAGAGTCAGACCTGATTGAAATGACTGCACAACAACAGCTTCCTGACTCCGGGAAGACACCTAATTAGGAGTCACTGCACAGATAAGAAGTTGTTGGTGTTATTCACTTGTGCCTGATTCTTTGTGATCATGTGGTCACAAAGCACGCCAATACTGTCCATGGAGTATTCTTGGCAAAGACACAGGAGTGGTGTGTCATTTTCTTCACCAGTGGATCAAGGCAAACAGAGGTTAAGTGACTTGCCCAGGGTCACACAGCTCCTAAGTGTCTGAGGTCATATTTGAACTCAGGTCTTCCTGACTCCAGGCCCGGTACTTTATCTACTGAGCTGCCTAGCTGCCTCCAAAGATAAGAGGCACCATGGCTTAATAGCTAGAATGATGAGTTTAGAGTCAGTCCTATGAACTGCACGATCTTGGGTAAGTCAAAACTTCT